TTGATATAATTATGGCAAATATAGTATTCTAATAATTAATCATGTGATTAAATTAAAATATGTAATATCAATTATTTTATTTATCAAACAACATGAAACATAATAATTATATTCACGTTAAAAAAAAATCTGACATGCCTTAAAAAACACTTTGAAAAGTAAATACACACCAAGAAAAAAAATAGAACCAAAAATCTGACCAATAAAAGCGCTATGACATAATATTTGTCTAAATTTTTATTTAAGAAGACACCATACGGATAATAGAACGATTTTATATTCAATAGTAAACATTCCTATTTTTTGGTTTTTTAAATGATCAATAAATAGCTTCAGAGTTGTGTTATCAAAATTTTAAATTATAAATTCTCATTTATAATTTGTTGAAAAATCAAAGATTTTAGTAACAATACAACTTGTAAAAGTCGTCCCGCACGAAACAGATTTTACACCAAAACATGAATTTTTGTCTATGTGTCGGTTCTCAGTGGCATTTATAACGTGACGAATTTCCTGTTAAGTGGCGGTAACCGATTACCCTCTCCTTTCAATTGCTCCCAGGCGAACGATCAAAACCTGTTATTCTATACTTTGTTATCGGCGCACAGGGGTCCATTTAGCAGTCGCTTATCTGAATTTATACAAACATTGTTATCATTGTCTAAGGGACTTAAATTTAATTTTACCATGTTCATTTTTATAGAGTACTCTATGTTTTTTACACGTAAATAATAATGTAAGTATAATAAAAATACCTATTGATCGAAAATGTGTCAGAAATCTACATGGAGTTGTTTTTTTGTAACATTAGAAAATATACTTGTTACGAATGTGAGTTGACAGAGTACATTTTATTCGAGGGCGGCAGGACACGGATCAACCGTTTTTTTAGTAGCTGATTTTTTAGTAGTCGATAAAAATCAAATATTCTTTCTTCGAAAAATTAATATTTACCCAAAAAAATAAAATTTATTGTTTAGGCCTTTATAATAGTGTGTAATCTTATCATTATCGGCGGTTTTTATTATTAAGTGCAATATATCTTTGTATAGCACACCGCTCGCGTATGCAAAATAATCGTACAACAAATTTTATACTTGACATCCTTTTTTTTCTTATTTATTTTAATATCTTTTAGCAACAAGAGATTACGGCCGAAAATCATCATGAAAACATTAAGTAAGAATTTAAAGTTTACCTATCTTGAATTTATTTATACGTAGTATAGGGTATTATTCAAGACTATTTTTTGATTTTTAAGACTAATTATGTGTGATATGAAATTCTAAATTTTTGAGCACGTAAAAAATCTGCGTTATATTATTAGAGAAAATATGCATTTAAAATTAACCCAATCGTTACAATTGGCCAACTTGACCCTATCGCCAAGTAGCGTATTTCTTTAATTTAGGGATAAACATTTTTAATTTCAAATATTGCAAATACGAGGTTTTCGCGCCTAATTTAATTTAAGGTTTGTCATAAATAATGATTCTTTGAAAATTGAATTTTAACGAAATAATGAAAACCATTTGTGATCATTTGACGTAACATTGAAAAATATCGGTCAAATGAGAGCTGAGAAAAATTAGTGATTGACACAAAAAACAAAAATATATATATAAATACATTAACACACTGTGGTAACCTTCTTAGCTTCAGAGCTAAAATAAATTTAACAAGTTAATATAGTTATTAGTTATAAGGAATGAATTAATAGTAATAAATAGTCGATAAATCAAGAAATATATCAAACTAAAAAATATCAATAATAATTATCTAGAAATGGTTATTTTATGAGAAATCGAGTGGCCATCGTTAAAAGAATCCCCTTGCATTAATATTTTTAATAAAAATGTAAACTTAACATTCATACACAAGTAAAGAACTTTTGCACTTTCATACATTTTTAATAAAAGGCTGTATTGTTTTATCAATTGATTTACCTGATCCAAGTCAATTATTTTTTTTTTTATAAAATAATTAATTAAAATGACTACAAAAGAGTTATACTGTAATTATTCAATTATGTTTAAGGAATTTTTGTGTTATTTTTAAATCAGACTCCTTATAACAGTACAGTATTTGTACAAAGCAAGTTAATTGTTACAATATTAATTAAAATTTTTAATAAATTAATTAGATGTATCTACTTTTTTATTAATTTTTTCAATTTTACATAAAATAGTAATTTAGCATTGTTATTGTAGCTTTTTTACATGACGCATTTAAATTAGAAGAATTATTATTACTTCTAACAGAGAAATTTATTTTTTGTTATAGTATATTGTAGTAGTCAAACTGAAATACTTTAACCTAAATTATAACGGACAAAAGAATTTGCTAGTGCTACCACTCCATTTTAATACCAAAAAATTGTATATAAATTTATAGCAGATTAAAAATGTAATATACAAATATTAATTAGCTATCGGTTCCCAAAAACTGGAGAAAAATATAATACAATTAATATTATCAATTGCTTTTCAGGGTCATGTTAGTCACTTAGTACAAGAGCAGTGAGAATTTCAGAATTCTGTTCATCTATCAGTCGCGGTTCGTGGGTACTGGTGGTGGGGTGCGACTTTAAATATGATACCACTAGTCATGGGTATAAAAAATTGTCAAATTAAATATAATAAAATAAAACACAATAAACATATTATTATTTTAAAGGTCGCGCAGTAGAAAATAAAAACGAAAATAATAATAATAATAGTAATTATACTATTGTAACAACCGATAATGACAAGTGTACGCGCAGTTAATTCTAAAAATAAATTACCCAATTTAGGAGTATATTAATATTTTACCGTATGGACGACGCTGCAGGTCGTCCAAAACCCGTTTATAAGATTGCAGCTGAACAGTAATAAGTATAACACACACACAATTGCAGCGCTTAGCTTATAATATACTCTATATAGAATACTGCTCGGATGACGCTGTTGGTTGTCCACACACTGCTCATGTGTGTATACGCATCTGCATATTAGAGATGGGAATTATGGTTCACCTAAGTCAGAGGTTCTCAAAGTCAAATGAATCACGGACCCGATCTAAAGACCTACAGTTTTAAAGACCTAACCCTGATATGTGCTCGCGTACCCCTGGGGGTCCGCGGACCACACTTTGAGAAACTCTGTCCTAAGTGATCCGATTCATTCGAATCAGGTCAACTAGAAGATCCGGTTCAAAGACCCGTTCGCGATCTAAAAGATATTTTGAGTCAATTGAATGGAACATTCAGCATAGTTTTGATTCTTTTGCGGTTCTCGATTCGCGATTCGGATTAGGGATGTGTCAAANATCGAGATTCGGATTAGGGATGTGTCAAATATGAATATGTTATCATGTTATCATTGATATTTGGTAAGCGATCAAATCGGTGCAGTGTGATTCATACGGGAAAAAATTAGTTTTNTTCGGATTAGGGATGTGTCAAATGTGAATATGTTATCATGTTATCATTGATATTTGGTAAGCGATCAAATCGGTGCAGTGTGATTCATACGGGAAAAAATTAGTTTTTGGGGGATCCGGATCACTACCGTTCGGCGATCTGAATCATTTCGTTCACTATTTTGACCCGTTCAATGCGATCCGTTCGTTCGCGAACGACACACCTCTACTGCATATACTGAGGGAAACAGCTTTAATGTTCGCTACGACAAATGTATTATGACTATTTTACTATTAAAAAGTTTTTATTTTACTATAAAAATGTAGTATTAAGAATATACAATTAAATTTCTTCTTTTAATAAATATAGTAATGGGGTGCGATCGTCCCGTCGTCCAAACCACGAGCCGCCACTGTTATCTATTTATAGTTAATTCTCCACGACGTTGATATATAAAAATCAAATTTCTACATTTATTTAACACATAAATACATTTATTTTTGTAAAATACAAAGACGTTTTATTATTTTACTGTAGAAACAATGTAATATCAAAAATATTACTAATACAGCGAGACCTCCTTTCAACTGACTCACTATTAGACGGAAATCTCTTATAAACAGAAAAATTCTACAGTATTGCATTTTTTATAAATTAAAATTCACTTCTATTAAGTGGTAACCTGTTCTTAAAGAAAAAAAGTTTGGTTCGAAGCGTTTCCGTTGAAAGAAGGGTTCATTTTATAATAACAAACATGCACTTTAAATATTTCCACTTTTTAATTTTTATAAATTTCTATTTTGATAAAAAGTTCATACATCTGTTTTTATAAATACTACGAAGTTAAAGAAATAAAAGTATAATTTAAAAATATAAATAATATAATAATATTTGGTCTTTGGCATTAGGTTAAACGTTTTACATAGAATGTTAAATGAATAGTAGTGATTTTAATAACATGGATAATAATGTGCTGAATTATTCAGTATATTATACTAACAAAAATAATTAATGGATATCTATTTAGTAGTTATTATATTACTTAGTTTCAGTTTTTAACATCGTGAATATTTTAATTAATCCTATGATAATTATAAATATAGATAAAATAATAATAAATAACTTAATTGTATTAAATTAAAAAAAAGTCTACATTCCGACCTAACTTGGCAAGCGTTTTTTCAAAATCTTTAATTTAACTTAATATTGATTTTATAATTTATTATTCTAATACTAAAAGATAGTGTTTTTTAATCGATCAGGTTATGTTAATGTAAATGGAATTAATATTTCAATATAAATGAATATGAAAAAATACTTTACATAAGTAAAAACATTAGTAGATTACATACTAAAAACGTTTTACTGGATGTTTAAGTGAACTAATCAATCAAATGATCGCATTTTATATTTTCAACTTAGTTTATAAAGAATTAAAGTAAAATAAATTTGATTACTTCAATATAGTTAAAAAAAAGTGTTAAATATGTGGTAGCACGAAGTAGTTAATTAGGGTTATTTGAATTGTCCATAACTTATTGAGTAAACTTTAAACAGGTCAATAAAGTTTTATTCGCAATAGCAAAATCATACTTACTTTGCCAAAACTTCCTTTACCAATTGCTCGTAGAATTTCAAAATGATTGAAGTTCACTGAAATGAAAACGGAAGACAATTATTGCAATGTAGTGGCAAAAGTAATAATTAATTTAATGAATTGATTTAAGAATACATTTTATAATTTAATTATGCTTCATAGGGTGCGTTGGAATTATATTTTCGGGGTGGGGTAAAAGTGTAATGACTAAAAATAGATTCCCTTTGTTGTTACAAAATTAAATAATAAGTATTGTTTTTTTGGCGATTTTCAGTGATCATATAAAAATAAATAAATCCGGTAGCTTATAAACTATACTCTTGATAATGCATATTATTTTTTATTATACTATTATAATTATTTATAAAATAAATTTTATAGATTTTATTTTAATTTTAAATTTTACTTATTTTATTAATTATATTGCAATAAATAAAAATTATTACTTTATAATAAATTCTGTAAACTAGTCAAATTTACGGGGCATTCAAAATCAAACATATAAGTAGAAGAACTTTTTCTAAATTTAAATTTGAAATTATAAAAAGGAGTACTAGATGAAAAACAATTTATTCTCTGACGAAAATTTAATTGAAATTTTAATTAAGTCAATAACTAAATATTTAAAAAAAACTACTAATTATAATAATTGTGTAAGATTTTAAGAAATTTGAAATACTTGATTTTATATGGTTATACTTTGAGGGAAAACAAACGTTTTATGAGCCTCAAAGTACTTATATTAAGATGACATTTTTAGTGCCAAGGGTATATAATTATACAGAGTGATTGATTTTAAAAATTATAAAGACTTTACTTCCATGGCTAGAGGTAAAGAGCGGATCTGTTTATTTTTATCTCTAGATATTAATAAATTCCATTACACCTCCCGCCCTTGTACAAAAGAGCTAATATCTTTTAAATACTTGCTCTAAAGTTATTATCGATTAGTCAATTTCTTATTTTTAATCATATACAGAGTGATTCATTAAGTATAAGACACTCATTTCCATTAAAAAAACTTAAATTGGCACCATTTTATAGAAAAAAGTCTATAAGAAAGTTTTATACAAAATTTCATTTTTGAAAATTACAGAACATAGGATACAATTAACTTCAAAATAGAAAAAGTTATAATATGTTTTATACTTTTAAAATTTTGCATGAAGTATAGTTGAATAATCACCTTGTACTTCCACATTGTCACCGTCCACTACCATCAACCTTTTTTTATACAAAAAATGAGTTTTGTAATTTCCCAATGTACTAAATTCTTTCTCGCTTTCTCTTTTAGTAGAAAGGTAACATTGTCAAAAAATGTATTGAAGCAGTAAATAAAAAATTTGAAATCTTGATACTGGCGCCACATGATACACGGAATACTACATCCCGCGCCACCTTTGTCAGCCACCTCCCTACAAAAACTTATGAACGGTAGTGAAGTGATTATCACCGCGTACGATACGTCGATGATACTAAGTCCAACAATGACTGCACTAGTGGCGGTCACCTGTTGCAGTACTCCATTGAATCTTATTATCAAATTAATGAAGTCAAATATGTACGCCACCGATACCGGCTCGTAGTACGACCAAACACGACGGCCGATACCTCACCACGCCATCAACTTTTGATGTGCGATGATCATCATGTCGACGCCTCCGACAGGCCTCATTTTATGCGAAAAGTTCTATTTATTGCGTTCGTCCATTCGGTTTTTTTTCTCAATAATTTCTAGTTTATTAACAATAAACGACTCGCAGGTCTTTACCGTCTAAACCAGTGCTGATTACATTATTGCGACATAAGTCGTGTCAATCTCCCAAACTCTATATCTTCTATTACCGAAAAATCTTTAAATATATTTTAGTGAACGCCTATAAATTTAGCTGAAACAAAGGAATTCTAGTATTCCAATAAGAGAAATGGCAGCGAACTGCAAGTACAGAGAAGAACTTCAAAATGTTCACCAACATTTCCTTAAGTATTTGACATAATTATTTTTTATTAATAAACTCAATTTTGATAGACTTTTTGGGTTTGGGTATTTTTTTTAACATCTCTGTTAATAACATTTTCAGTTGATACAATTGGCAATATATTAACAATAAACTTATGGTTTGTTAATACAAGAAAACAAACCTATTTCTAAAAGTTTTAAATGGTATGTGATGCAATGGAAAATATCTGGGGTGAAATTAAAATTCTAATGATTTTTTCATGATGAAAACGATTCTGTTTTAATTAATAATAATTATAAAAAGAAATTTTTTTAACTTAACCCAGTTATTTAATAATAATTATTATTTTATTGGATTCAATTGTAGGAGGGACGAAATGATACTTTTTTGCAACCATTTTAACAGGGGGAGCCATTGTTCCCGATTACGGAGCCACTGTTTATCATCATATTAATTTAATAATGTAATAGTTTGTTAAAAGTAATAATATTTTTTACCAAATCTACAAAATTTATGAATAAATGCAAAAATTGTATATAAAAAAAAAAATGCACATATTGATAAAATAAATACTTAATTAGCTTCATTAGTCTTAAAGATTTTAATGGAAGTGCTTTTAATAATAAGTTAAATTATTACTATTTCTTTAAAATAGCATAGAAAAGTATAAAAAAAAAAAAATAAATGTTAATAATAATGTTAACAAGTTAACGATAATCTGTGATAATTTACTCAGTTTTTGAGGAAACAAAAGAAAATGACGTGAAAAAAAAAAAGTTCTATAACCTAGAATCTTTTGTTCATTGAAAGTTAGTAGTTCAGTTATTCTCACGAATAAAATTATCTCATGATAATTATTACTTTATAAAAAGATATCGGAAAGTATTATAAAATAAAAAAAGCATTGGGATTAATAAAAAAAATAGCTTATTTTAAGCGTAAAATGTTTTTTTGAGATTAATTTTTATGGAAATTAATGAAATAAACAAAAACGTGTACAAGTATTCAAATAAAATTATATAGATACGTGCAAGAAATCCAAATTATTAAAAGACTTTTAAAATTTTATAAGCTATATTTTTCTATTATATCGAGTACGTATTTTTAAATGTTACATAGTTTATGTTATTATCTTCCATAATTGAAAACGGATAAATAATTTTATTTATGAGAGGTTTACATAAAAGAAATGTTTAAACGTATTAAGTAATAATTGGTGCTAAGGGTATTTACGGTATAACAATTTTGCAAAATGATTTAAATGAGTTAAAAAACACAATAAATATTGTATAAGTGTAATCAAATATTGATAAACTTTTAAAATGTCTAACTTCTTAGAAATTTTAACATAATAATAACTTCTGAATTGTAACTATAAGTTTGGTTTTTGAACGTTGCATATAATAAATTAAGCTCGTATAAAAAAGGTCATAAAAGACAAGTGCTATAGCTTAGATGAATATCGTTATCAAATCTTAAAATCCCAAAACGCCTAGGTAACCAGAATAAGAGATTCGTGTTTTACACTCTCTACCAATATGCGTAGACAAACTTCATCTTAATGTATTCAGATGATTTATATACCTACAAAACAAAGTAGTGGATACATGTGACAAATATAAATCATTTTGTTAAGGACATCGTGAGATGTTTGCTATAAATTACAATACAGATGATGTATTCGAATAAACTTCAAAATGTAAATCTATTTATTTTTTCATATTTTAGAAGTTACTCATTTTTCATATTAATTAGCATTATTTAAAGTGTGCATTAAACTATCTTATTCAAAAATATAATTAAAAAGCTATATCATAGGCAACTATTGTTATTAGAGTCTGGAAACATTTTTATAACGTTACAATTATAACATTTTAAAACGATAAAAATTAAGATATCAATACTATTTTCTCTTAAATATTACTAAAAACAAAGTAAATTAATAAAAACATATTGAAAACGTTTTAGTAACAAAAATTATAGAAAAGTAAAACGTTTTAGTATGATACATTTGCCTATATTTTCCTACAAAAATATCTGTATTAATAATACTAACATTAAGGTGAAATAAAAACATTTCTTAGCGCATGTCTAGGTAAACGAATAAATAAATAATAAGAATATGTCATTTTCTTAGAATCTATGCAATAAAAAATATAGATTTAAAGACATTTAGCCAGGAAATGCACTTGAAAAATAAGTTAAAAATAACCCGAATTATTTATTTTGTATTTATATGAATGAGTAATAACTGTTTTTATAAATGGGTAATTGTTATATTCTATTACTACACAAAAAACAATTTTTCACATAAGTGTTTGATGCTCTAAATTAACTACAAGTACAACATTTTAATTTACGTTACATAATGTTTAGAAGTTGATAGTAAAACTCATGCCCACTATTATTAATGTGTTAATATTATAGTGTATCTACTTGAAGTAAAAGAAAAGTTAAAATTTTTAGAAGTGAAAACAAATTCAATTCGAGTTTAAGAAATATTTTTACTTTTAACGTAAATATCAAAAAGTATTTGTAAAAATTTGTTATAAATCCAATCAAATTTGAAAATGAACGATTATATAACTGTATTTTTATTTTTCAAATGATTCGTAAAAAAGTTTTACAAAGAATTTCTATTGTGTTCAGTTTTATGAACAGCTTATCGATTTAAAAAAGTAAGTAATAGTGTACAATTATTGTAAATTTTCACAAAAAGTTCAAAAGTTTCATTGTCTGTATCTCCCAACTCTTAAATTAAAGATTTTAGATAAAAGTAATCAATTATTTCATAAAAATATATAGTATAGAAGTAATCAGAATAAAGTTATAACTTTTCAGATAGAAATTTAAAAAAACAATGCTATAAAAACATTATTAAAAAATATATATGTGAACAGTGTTATTATTATTATAATTATTTATTTAAAAATTAATTTAGAATAATTGATAACTTTTAATTATTTTATAATGTAAAAATAACTACATCACGTATATCATAAGAAATTATGAGAATTGGCGTGACATCTCATTTATGACTTATAATTGAAACTTATCTGCCTTAATTGCTGCAATTTTTTGGATGGAGAGTGACT